GTGCGTTATAACTTGCGTGTTATATAACAGTTACATTATTGAGTAGGAAATTATAACATTGATGTTATGTTACTGTTACTTTGTGTTTACTAGGATATTGATGGATGCTCCACTTCATTTTCGCATGTATTTTCACCATGCAAAAGGATTTTTAATTCTACGTAGGTAGAAAGAAGTAAACTTTGCAGAAAAATTCGATTTCGTGGTAGTAATGGTGCATTATCGTTTTCGTCTCATATTTTTGGATGTGTCGCTTCATTTTCGCACCTAATTTCAATGCAAAGCAATGCAATGCAATACAATGCAAAATTGTTTTACTTTGGTCCAATTAGCACGAAACAATAGTTTCGCAAAAGTACTCGGTATCACGTCAACAACATTTGCCAAAAAATTTTAATTTGTGTTGACTTGACCAAATTAAAAATTCTTTTGTATAGCAAAGATACATGCATAAATGAAATAGAGCATTCCTCTTTCAAGGATGAAAACGATGTGGAACTACTGCTATCGTGACACTGATTTAGTTTTTCAATAATTATAGTTTACTAACTACTCCAATTTGTATGGTAAAATTACATGCGAAAATAAAGTGTAACATTGGTCAGTGCGAAATAAAAAAATATTTCAAATTACCGTTGCTAATTATATTGAAATCTCAAATAATAGGTAACGTATTCTTCAAAATATTATTCGCAAATTACAACACTCTTTTCTAAAAATTTTTTCTTTGATGCACCCAATACACAAGCGGTTTGAAGAATTCATCAGAAATGCAGCAAAAGCCTATCGTGGAGAGAATGCGAATATCGGCAACGTGGCATTCACATTTATGTAACGTCTATGTGTAAGAAAATTGAAATGACAACATAGCACACACACTTGCATAACATCTGTGGAAGGATGATAGCGCTATTATGTTAGCGCCTATTTGACGATCGTCTTTATTCTATAAATATATATATGTGTATATAAATTCGATATCGTCGGTAAATGAAGATAATGTTTTTTACTTTTTGACGATCGCTCTACGTTATCGACGCTTATCAAATTCATCGCTCGCTCCGGCATCCCCTTAATTAAACGACCCTACTCATACTCGATCGCGAGTGAAATCCTGAAAATAGCGATTATCAGTGCGAGTAAATATCCGAAAGATATCCAGTGCAATTTTTTAAGTGTCATCGAAGCTCGAACTATTACCAATCTTACAGCCAGCTACGCCAGTTAAGGGATTAGTCAAAGGCCTCTCCCGGTTCTCTAAAGGTGCTGGATAAAACAACTTATTGTAATTCGCCAGTCTCCGTCAATGTAAGTCACTGCCTCATTTTATCGTAATCCGAAATGAGCGACCTAACGCGCGCCGCCAGCCGATAACACACGAGAAGAAGACAAGTTGCCATCTCGTAGACATTCAGGTTGTATACCGCGAGTCCCAATAAATTTTATCTTCAGTTATTCCTAACTATTAGAGTTATTAATTTACTTATTTTCCCTCAATACCTCATCTATCTCGTTAAACCTATGCGAAAACACTCCATAAAGGCTAGCTCTTACGGAAACGTAACTTGATCACCAAAATAACTCAGCATGGCGGAACTGCTCCCGTCGTGCGTGTCGCGGAACCTCATGGGGACATAACACTATATTACAATAATAAATATATATACAGGGTGTCCCACGTAAGGTGTGAAAAATATAAAAAAAAAGAAAAATATAAGTAGAACAGATAAAACTGAACAAAAATTGTAGAGGTCATTTTTCAAACGGGAGCTAAACCCGTCGGATCCGCGACAAAGTAGCTGGTCCTTCGAGTCGGGTCGGTGAGGGAGAGCGAGTTAATCAAGCCGTCACACCAGAGAATCTTCGATGGCCGAAATCTGGACGCGGCAGCAGCAGCTGCAGCGATCCATTGATCGATTTCTTGAAAATTTCAAAAAACTGGGACGGTCGAATCTGACCGCAGCAAAGATCCGCTCACGCATCTCCGCTCTTCGTGACCTGTGGCAGCAATTTCAAAATGGAAACGCCGTGCTCTTCCAGTCCACTCCAGCAGCGCAACAGGACTCTATCGAGTACTTCAGCGGGCAGTGCTTCGACGCAACGGAGGAGATCTACAGGACGGGAGCGGTGCACTTGGACACGGTGCATTTGGACACAGCCAATCACAGCACCGTGTGATTAGAAACATTTGTAGGGTCCCTTGGAACAGCGACTTGTGATTGGACTGTGTCCAATTGCCCTGTGTCCAACTGATATACACCCCTACAGGACAGCGCTGGATCATCTTACTGAGGAACTCGAGGAACTCGAGCCTCCCGTGAGTCCTCAAAACGACTCTACTTTAAATCATACTGCGCGTATTAATGCGGTGTCTCTCGCACAATTGCCGCCGATTAGTTTGCCGCCGTTCGACGGTCAGCTCGATCATTGGGAATCATTTCGTGATCGGTTTACTTCATTAATCATTCGAAATCCGGAATTAAATAATTTCGCGCGTATGCATTTCTTAACTACGTGCGTGAAGGGTCAGGCGTTTTCGTGCATTCATAATCTACCGGTCACCGCCGCAAACTTCGAGATCGCCTAGCAAGCTCTTGTCTCGTGGTACGAGAACAAGGGACGGCTTCTCCATCGACATTTATCAGCTTTGCTTCATTTACCCGCTGTCACGCACGAGTCAGCTGTCGAGCTTCAAGCGCTGCGCGATCAAGTCAAAGTAACGATAGCTTTTCTTATCCATTTGCCGCGCAGTCTGTCCGACTTGTGAAACGACATGCTTATACATCTAGTAGTGCAACGTCTCGACGCATCTTCGCGAAAAGTCTGGATCTTGCGGGTCGCGGATCACGACGGTTTCCTTCATTTGCGAATCTCGATCGATTTCTGGCCTCTCGCGCGCGCGCGTTCGACGAAATCGCGAGTGCCGCTCCGACTCGATCAAACCATCGTGGCGGGCAATCGCGTCAGGTCAGTGCCGCGACAGTGTCCGCCTCCTCTTCGCAACAGTGTCCGATTTGCAAGTCGCGACACTTCTTCAGTGCTTGCCCGTCGTTCGTGCGAGGGACACCGATGCAGCGTCGCAAGCTCGTTAAGAAGCACGGTCGGTGTTTCAATTGCTTGAGTCGCAATCACTCGACAAAAGAATGTTCGAATAAATACTCTTGTCGAGTATGTCAGCATCGACACCATACACTGCTTCACGCGAGCTCGACGGCCGCTGCGAATAGCGAGACCGCAAATTGTGCCGCGCCGCCGACTTCGACTGACAATTCTCGGTTAGCAGTTCAATCGTTGCTTGCTTCGCGCTCTCAAGGAAACTCTTCTCAGATTTTGCTAGCTACTGCTCGCGTTCAAGTACGCGGACTCGACGGTCGTGCGGTCAAGGTTCGCGCGTTACTCGATCAGGGCTCTGAAATGACATTCATCTCGGAGCACCTAGCTCAATCACTGCGGCTAAAGCGACGTCGTATGCCGACCTCGGTGTCTGCCGTCAGGTGCGTCAACGCCGGTACTTTTCGGCACGCCGCATTCATTATTGTATCGTCGCGAAGCGTCTTTTCTCTGACGGTGTCTACCACCGCTCTTATCTTGCGTTCATTAACGTCGTACGCGACGCGCCGCGACGCGTCGCGGGGCTCGCATCATTATCGCATCTCGCGTCTCTTGCGCTCGCCGATCCGGATCCTACGGGCAGGGATTCGATTCATTTAATTCTCGGAGCCGACGTTTACGGCTCAATCATTCTCGACGGTTTGCTCAAAGGCGGAGTAGACCGACCTATCGCGCAAAACTCCATATTCGGGTGGGTCATTTCGGGGCCGCTCATGACCTCGTCTCGTTCCGCTTCGGAATTTAGCTCCGCGAAATCCTCGTCGCAAAGCGCAAGTCGAATCACGTCACTCCATTGCTTCAATTCCTCCCCGTTGGAGGACAGCCTTCAACGATTCTGGGAGAACGAGGAGGTTCCAAGTAAAGTCATCGTATCGCCTGAGGATCAGCAATGCGAAGCGCATTTTCTCGCAACTCATTCTCGAGACGCGACCAGGCGTTACATCGTGCGTTTGCCGTTCAAGTCCGAACATCCGCTCGCCCTCGGTGATTCGCGGCATCGCGCGGAAAAACAGTTGAACTCCATGTTTCGCCGACTCGAGTTGCAGCCCGATCTTTTGGCGGAGTATCGCGCGTTCGTCGATGACTACGCGCGCCTTCGACACATGCAGCTGGCCTCACCTCACGCCGGATCCGAACCTGTCGTGTTTCTGCCGCATCACCCGGTCTTCAGAGACTCGAGTTTCACGACTCGCGTTCGCGTCGTTTTCAACGCGTCGAGTCTCACGTCGACCGGATCAAGCCTCAATAATCACTTGATGATCGGTCCTAAATTGCAAGTCGACTTACCGGCGGTTCTTCTTCGTTGGCGACAGTTTCGGTTCGTGTACTCCGCGGACATCGCTAAATGTACCGTCAAATTCTGATCGGTCCGCGTGATATCAATTTTCAAAGGATGCTATGGAAAGAGTCCATCGACCACGCGCTCGTCGAATATCAGCTGTTAACAGTCACTTACGGTATGACCTGTGCTCCGTTTCTCGCGCTGCGCGTATTACAACAGCTCGCGATCGACGAAGGTGAAGCGTTTCCTCTCGCGGCGCCGATCCTCCGCGAAAACACATACGTCGACGACGTCCTCTTCGGAGACGAGGATGAGAGCGCGCTTCGCGAGAGTCGCGAACAGCTGATTCTTCTTCTTAAGCGAGGCGGATTCGCGCTTCGTAAGTGGGTCAGTAACTCACTCTCGCGTTTAACGGACATAGACTCGGCGGATCACGGAATGTCGTGTAGTCGAGCGCTCTCCGAATCTGACGTGGTCCACATCCTCGGTATTGAATGGAGTCCTCAAACGGGCTCATTTCAGATTCGAGTATCATTAGACGCGGAAGCTCCGGAAACAAAGCGAGGAATTCTGTCCGCGATCGCGAAGCTGTACGATCCGCTCGGTCTTGTAACACCGTTTACGCTCGCGGCGAAACTCATCATGCAACAACCATGGCAAGGCCCTGCTTGGCTGCGTTTACCGCGCGAATTTTGGCCCAGCCAGGCTGAAGCCATTCCGGCCGAGTCCGAGCTCGAAGCTTGACCCGTCTCACTTTCTGCTACGACGCCGTCCGCAAACTGGGATCTCGCGACCCGATTTTCGTCATAGCCGCGCCTGCTCCGAGTCACCGCATTCGTTTTGCGTTTCGTGTCGCGATGTCGTCGCGTTCCGCCAAATCGAGACGCCGAACTCGCAAGCGGATTCTCGTTGAACGCGCTCGAGGTATCCGCGGCTCGACTGTTTTGGCTTAAACTCATTCAGGCCGAGCTCTTCTCCGACGAGCTCCGCGCTATTCGAAGCGCTCGTCGGCTCAGCTCTAAGAGTTCGATTCTTTCTCTCGATCCGTACCGACGAGGACGGATTGTTGCGTGTTGGCGGGCGGCTCCGAAGGGCACTCAGCCCAGCTATCACGCGACATCCGATATTGCTCGCTGCTCATCCGATCGTCACTTTACTCATCGAGCATGCGCATCTCCGATCGTTACACGCTGGCGTGCAATTAACTCTCAGCACTGTGCGACGTGACTTTTGGGTGCTTCGCGCCCGCAGGGCGGTCAAGGCCGTCATTCATCGGTGCATCGTATGCACTCGTGAGCGCGCCGCGACTCCTAGTAAATTAATGGGCGACCTTCCTCCCGTCCTCGTGAACGCGCCTTCGCGTAGCTTCGCGCACAGCGGACTCGACTATGCCGATCCGATCGTCGTTCGCGCTTCCGCCGGTCGCGGTATAGCGTCACGCAAGGCATATATAGCCTTATTCGTTTGCCTCGCTTCGCGAGCAACTCATCTTGAACTGGTCTCCGACTACTCCACTCACGCGTTTCTCAACGCCTTCGACCGCTTCTGCGCTCGTCGCGGTCTGCCTCAAACGATTTATAGCGATAACAGTACTAATTTCGTGGGAACGAATCGCGAACTCAACGCCGCGTATCAAGCCGCTATACGTGACCCTAGCTTTCAGAAGAAGGTCACCACTGATTTTGTCGCCTGGCATTTCATTCCGCCAAGTACCCCTAAGATTTCGGAGGTATCTGGGAGGCCGGGGTTCGAAGCCTCAAGCATCACTTGAGACGCGTTCTCGGCGATAATAAACTTACATTCGAGGAGCTCTCTACGCTCCTCTGCAAAATCGAAGCGTGCTTAAATTCGCGATCTCTCGCTCCTCTCTCTGATCGTATTGATGACTTTAACTGTCTCACGCCGGGTCATTTTATCATCGGGTCATCGCTAACCAACAGCCCAGAGCCGTCGCTATTGAATTTGAACGAGAATCGGCTGTCACGTTGGCAGCGGATTCGGCACATGACTGACAAATTCTGGAAGCTCTGGCACTCCGATTACATTAACACGCTTCAACAACGTAGCAAGTGGCGGACGAGAGAGGAGAACCTCCGGGTTGGTCAACTCGTCCTCCTCAAAAATTCGAGTCTTGCCCCATGCAAATGGGAGCTCGCGCGCGTTGTTCAAACTCATCCGGGCGTCGACGGCTTAGCTCGAGTCATTACGATTCGGACGTCCACTTCTGAGTTCACGTGACCAATCGGGAAGGTGTGCGTGCTTCCCATCGATAGCGATGCGAGCCCTGAGCGTTCTTCCGGTTAATCTTAAGTTGCGAGCGATTCTTTTAATTATAAGTCGTATGTAAATCGTCGAGCCTTCCGTTGGGGCTCACTCGCTCTTCTCATTCTCACCGTCACCGACTGTTGAAGCGGAGGCTTCAAGGCGGGCGGGATGTTCGAGAGCGAGGATTATTTTCTAGAAATAAGCGATCGAACGTTCTAGAACGTTCGGTCGATCGTCAGCATCGCAACAGGCTCGCGCTAGCCACAGCGCGAGTTCACGTTTTTTTCGCTCGGATTTCGCTCGCTGGTCGCGGTTGCCATGCCGACCGCTCGCGCAAACAAACAAACATTCGCGCGAGACAACTCGCGCGTTAGATCGCCGCTGTTACCAAGCGGACCTTATTTGGCAATTGTTCTAGAAGATTCGGCAACCGCGACCAACCAGCGGGCGACCTGTCGTCAAGCGCTTTTTCGTTAAAAGCCGCCCTCGTCGACGACGACCAGAGTCTCGCGCTTCACGTCGACGGCATCACTTCGCGTCAAGTTTTCTGATCAGCTGATCTTCGTCGCCGTCGGCTGACTAATCGAAATCGTCGCGCGTACTGATAGACCGGAATTCAATTTATTTTCTCGGGCCGGCTATCTTTTCGTGACCGCAAACTCCGCGGTTCGTTTGCCGCGAGCTAGATTCCAGAGTCGCAGCGTCGCCGCGACTCCTCTCGAGCGCCGGGAGTTCAAGCCTCTCGTGCAGACTCTCTTCTCTCGCGCGCAAGACGGCGGAGCTCGTCCGCCGCTTGCCTCTCGCGCCGCGCGCGCGTTATCCTTCTCGGCCTCCGCGGCCTCTGCGATCACCGCCCACGACCAACCGAACTGTGGTTTTGCGTGAAGTGTCGCGGGTGATCCACTCACTTCACTCGTACGTTAAATTAAGTGCGCCTTGTTTATTTGTGTAATTTCGTATCTCAACATTGTTACTTTCAAGCTCTCGAGAAGTCGTTTGTTCGACGGCACGCGGACGCGCGCCAGGGTCGCGGAAGATCTCCGTCGCTCGCGCGCAAGATTTCCATCCGCGGAGCGCCAGTGCAACGCTCAGCAAGATTTCCGTCGCGTTAGGCTGACCCGGCCGTCGGCAAACGAAGATTTCCGTTTCGACTTTCTCAGCCGTCGAACTGTATTCTCGAGTCACAGTGTCGTGCAATAAAGAAAAGTGATTGTTAACAAAGTGTTCAATTACTCGACTCGCTCACCTTTCCTCACCGCGCCCTGCGCTGGGCGATATCAGCTCGCTACTCGACGGGAGCTAAACCCGACGGATCCGCGACAGAGAGAAACTTTTAAAAAATATTATTTAAAACAATAGTGTTGTTTCATCAAATGACATGGTTTCCTTGAACGAAATAAAAGTTTTATTTTCATCATTTAAAAAAATGATTTTCCTTTAAGAATATAATACTTTAATGAAATAAAAAAAAACCACAAAATTAATCAAATACGAATATTAAATCTAAAGAAAGTATTTTCTCCGAAAAAACGGTATAAGAAGTATAAAAAATATGCAATAAGACAAATTAATGATTGCCACTAACGAGTGCTATTCTAAGTACTATTCTATAAGTATTATTGATGTAAAACATTACTGAATTTGAAATACAAGTAACGAAAATAACTAGTAAAT